TAATGATAAAGCAAAAAGTATTAAAAAATGACACTTTGGGATAAATAATATATTAAAAGAGATCGATCTTTCGCGCATGTCACTTACAGACGCTAATTTCCGCCAATATTTGTTAGCCACCGTAAAGTCACAAACGTATATGTCCGCGATGCAAAATTGCAATGCAGAATGCGCTGAATTGTTTGCTCGACTCGACCACGATAGTAATACTAGCTGCGATATTCAAGGAGTGCTGACAAAGGCTGTGTCACGCCCGCGATAATATTCGCCTCCGTGTCAATAAACGAAAACGGTTTTTTATTTCTTAATTTGACCGTTTCTTTCAAGGAAAATATTCGCTCAAGATCGCGACGCCTGTGATATTATGAGGTTGGTGTCAGTCTTTATCACATATATAAGTATCTATTTCTCTGCGTTAGCTGATACAGACAGGCACATTGAACCCCCAGCAATTATGGGAAGTGGTCATGGCTCAGGGCTTTTAACTTATAACGATAATTACGTGTCCAACGCTACCTTGGAATTATATTATGTGTCTTAGATTAGGCTGTATTTACGGATTTAATCATAACGTATTTTATAATCAACGTTCACGCCTGTTCTGTGAATTAATGATACTTTTTCTATATATTTTCTATATATTTTTAGCTATTAATAATAACTGCTAACGACATTTTTTACTATTATATTACTAACTCTAATAATTTTCATCTAACAATAAGTAATATTTTTTGTTTCTGTTGTATACAGAGAAATCATTATCTTGCTACATACTCACTGGATATTGTATCATGATATGTGATGAATAGATAACGATTTCTTACGAAATTGTTTTACGCATTAATGTTCCTTTTTCCATGTAAAAATTGTAATAAGAGATCGCAACATTCGTTCTATCTTTCTTTTTTAAAGTTAATGGATTTTGTAGAAATACCAATCGCGAAAAAACATGAATTTCAAATATGAAATAAAGTTTGTTTTTTCCTTGCGAGACGTCTCGTATGGCAGTTCAAAATATACAGCGTCACGGTTAATCTTAATGCATACGTCGCGACGTTCTGAGACAAATGATTTCGTACCGGTGAAGTATAACGAGCTGGCTCGAACTGCATTCCGCAGACGATAAGCATATCTTGGTTCGTAATGAGTGCGAGCCTCCCCACAAACTTCGCGACGAGTGTCTTTAAGTATTCCGAATCGCAAAATATTCTCGCTTCAACAACTTCCTCATTCCCTCGTTAAAATGTAGTTTGTTTACGATTGTAATTAACTGCTAATTATCATCAATCGTTTTAGAAGATGTAAAAAAAATGCAAATTTTTCAGTTATAGAAAAAGAATATATCTTGTAAAAATTGTGTAATTTTTTTATCAAGGAAATTAATACAATTCAAATGTAATTCGAGTAACTTAACGTATTTTTAATCTCTTCGCGAATTTTTAATATGGAATATCTGTATTCAGGAAGAGATACTACAACAGTACAATAGCGCAAGTGTTGTGATAAATTCACGAGTTTATCAATTTCACAATAGAATTCAGGAAACCGTAGCTTGGAGGAAGGAAAACGACTGATAAAAATTCTCTATCCACGTATGCGGTAACATATTCAGTATATTTCTGTCCGGCATTGATTATTAAGTGCAAATCTTCTATTTTTCTTAAGAAAGATTATGTGTACATGCTTCTAGTACTTGAACTATTCGATACAAGAATATTTAAAAAATAATCCAAGTTGAAGAAATTACTAATAAGGGAAAACTTTCTCATACATAAAAAAATGTGCTTCCTCATTGTCATTAAATATTCAAATAATCTATAAATAAACAGATTAAAGCTAAAATATGGCTCAAGTTAGAATAGTTACTTATTTAACGCAACTTCATGTACATTCGTAATTATTGTTCTTTTAAAAAATGCGCATAAAAATGTACGTAATATTTAAGTTATTAATTTACTAAATATAATACAACTCATCAGCTTTCCATGAGAATTAGTTACGGAATAAATTTTACGCTTTGCAACACCACAAAATTAATGCTATAAATTAGCACACGAATTTTCTGCAATGCCTCTCGAGGGGTAAGAGGTAAGGCAGTCGAACATTAGTCACGCGCGAAGGAAGATATGAGAACTATCGGGCTCTCATTGCGGAATAGCGCAATTTCGAGTGCGATATCGTGCTGCACAAAAAATGCATGAGAAGGTACCGCGAGAAGAGAGAGAGAGGGGAAGGGGCGCAGGACGAACGGCCGAAGAAGTGTACCATGGCCAGCGGGTTTCGCGAGGGACGCTCCCTTCTTCGGCAACTGGGTCTCATTTTAATTCCCCTCGAAAGAAACGACCGCGTAGCAGCTGTTGCCGCTTACGAAACGCGCGTGCATCGCTGAACTCCGCGGGATATCCGAGGTGAGAAAAGGTAATCGATTTTGCGATTCGGAATGAGAACACGCATTTTCGAAATGTACATGCGTGCAAATGCAATTTTTTCAAGAAAATAACAGTGTATTTGTATATTGATGAAACTTAGTTGTAATAACTTTTAGTCCTTAAATTAATTAACGTCACGAATTGTAGGAACACTCGACTTCGATTCAAGTTTCGATCATTTCTTAATGGAAATGTAGAGATATTGAAGTGCACCGAAATGTCCCCTTCGAATAAAATCAAATTCTGGTGTTGCACGCGTCATTTTCGTTTTTCTCGATTTTATTTCAATTCCGTGAGACATTTGCATCGAAATCGTATGCGATTATTTATCGCGATTGTTCACATGTCGAATGCGTAACACAAAATTTACATAAACTACTTTTGCATCCTTAACATTCAAGTATGTTTGTAAAGTGGTTAATAGTTTTTCCGCGGAGAATTTATTCCCTGTGTTCAGCAGATTATATAATAATGATGTTTCCGTGAAATTGCGGTATTTTGAACATGCTTTGCGTCTGAGGTAATTTTGTTACATAAAAAAAATATCAGTGACACATTTAACTTTATGTAATCATATATTTAAAATTTTGTATTTCTTTAATCAAATTTTGCAAGATTATTGTATCGTAACGGTTGAGTTACACTTTAATAAATTTGTGACACTGTAATAAATTGCGACACTCCATTTTCAATTAATTCTCGACGATTTTTCACAAGAAGGACTTTACCGCCAATTATTTTCTTAAAAACTGCTTTGCTTTGTATCGTACACACTCAAATGGAGACTATTTACTGAAGGACATTTGAATGAACATGATCTAAGTACATGGGTTTGTATCATAAAGTAACGTATGGCTGACGAGAATCGCTTCGTCTCGGAATCGTGAAACCGAGCGAATGTTAAAGCGCAGGTTTAAACACAGCTGCGAGATAAACGACACGCCTGCTTGGAGCTTAACACAAAGGTTCGCCAGGCTGGATTACTATGTCGCGAATTTTTGCCAACTGTTGCGCGCGTTTCCTGTTTCTCACTCGTGCAACGATATTCGGAAAACTGCGGCGCGTATCAAAATTGTCGAGAATCAATCTAAACGGTAAAATTACATCTAAGAATTAAAATTGCATTAAGCGCGATATGTTAAATAAAAGGTTTGTTTAAAATTGTTTATAAAATCTGAAATAGTTTATCGTGCATTCCTCTAGTATTTTATTTTATTATTGATGCGAACTTCTTGGTGATCGATTTATCGGCACGCAGTTGGATAATGTAAACACGAGGTACGTGAACGAATGCGAGGATACGAATAGCGATAGTTCGCTTCGTTATTTACTCGCACATTGTGTTGGTATGTAAAGTCCAAATTTTTTTTGCAGTAACTGTACATTTGACAAGAAAATTATCATTACGAAAACGACACAGAGTAGAGCTACAACGCAAAAGAAGTGAAGTTTCCCGTTTTTTTAACACATTGTTGACTGGGCGTTTTATGCAGAAATGCCTGTGGCCGACTCTATTTTACATTTTAGAAACTTTAACGGGAATAAAATTTCGTTTATAATGTATAAGAGAACAGAAAAAAACAACAAGTGAAAGATAAATTACAAATTTTCTAATATAGACCTTATCAATTTTTATCCTCTAATATATATAATAATAATATATATATATATAATAACTTTAATTTATCGATTTAATATGAGTGAACTCGTTAATGACGTTCGGGCAACAAAAAATACATTGATACATTAACACATTTTCAGTCAATAATGTGTTAACAACTGTGAAACAAAGTACAAACTACCGTAAAATGTAAACTGCTATACATAATGCTATACATAAAAAATAGAAGAGATTTAATATATCTCAGTCAAAATATCTTTGTGCTTGATTTTATTTCGATAAAATAATGATTACTTGATTTCCAAAATCAGCAAGATATAAAAACGATTGTTATTCTGCCATTTAAAATCGTAGAACGATGGAGTATAAATCATCGTAATTTGAAATTTAAGTGACACAGGGTGACACTAATTTAGCACAACAATTTTTTTACGTTAGCGACAGTCAACGCGAATGGGGCTCCTCGACATATCTCGCATTACCACAGCTTCAACCCTGTCATCCCTGAATCATCTCCGAACTCTCCCCCATATCCTATCTCGAAATAGGTCAGTGAGAACAAACATACATATCAGTGAGGGTTACGATAATTATAATCGACTTAGCGGTCATTATTACAACAATATGCACTGGAGGACACATATAGCTGTCACTTCAATTTTATAATGCCTAATTAACTTGGGTGATCGAGGGATGATCTAGCGTCGCAATTTATCCCAATTTGATCCAGCCACCCCGGCCAGACGATACCATTCACGGACGCGCATTTACCAGTTTACGAGCGGAGCCTGCGCGGAAATGCATCCCTCAGTAGGTCGAGTCCACGCGTCCCGCGTCAAAGTGAGGGCAAGGGGGACGGGTGGAGGCAAGCGGGGAGGGTAGTTGTTGACTAGGTCAGGGTGGCAGAGATGCCAGCGACCGTTGCGTACGTTGACGCCGAGTTTTCTCACCTTTCTCTGCGCCTCCGCGGCGAATCCCGACTTGGCAGCTCGGTTACAGGCCATTTTTTTTTCGTCGCCTTCAAGGGGCGCTCGCAGGACGGTGAAAATCCGAGAGGGGGTTAATCAGCCGTAACACGAGGGTACCCACGTTCACACTCCGGCGGACGCGACTCGACTGTGGCGGGAGACCGGCGACGAGACGACGGCGACGGCAACACGTTCCGCCGGAGTTCCTGCGACGCGCCCGACGATTGGCCGCGGACGAGTATTGAGCTTTCGTCCGCGACACACGTGACCTCCGTTCTCCAAACCCGCCGACGGAGATGACGTCAGACGACGAGCGGATTCCTGGAGGCGAAGAAGACCGCGGGCCCCCGTGTTTCGCGACGTTTTTCTTCAATTCGCGCGAATCTTTAAATCAAAATAAAATATAGCAGAGTATGCCTTGCATGTGTCAAAATCGCTACATTTTGAATATCACTTAATATCCGGTATAGTGTTTTGTATTTATATATCTTTCTTAACCCGGGAATGAATGTCTGATTTTTTTTGCATAAAACGGTTTTGCACAATATTGGGGTGATTTTTACACTCCAATTTAAAAAAGTCATTGTTATCAATTACATATTGCCTATTTTTGATTGTTCTATAACACATTAGTATTTGACGGGAATATGTGTGGATCAAAAAAGTGTTTTATTAAATACAATAACTTTATTCGAAAGAATAATACACATATACGAATTGTCTCCATAAGTAACTTATTACATATACTGTGTGTAATAAATTATTTATGGACACAATCCGTACTTGTGTATTATTCCTTTGAATAAAATTATTATAAGAAAAGGGCTGGGTATGGAAATACTTTTTTGATCCATTATATAGATTTGCTCAACGTTTTCTGAAAATAGTAAAGAGAAACCAAAGAAATATAGATATATATATATAAATAGAAGAAGCACATTAAAATTACTGCGACGTAAGCTTAATTTTTTAGATAGAGTTTAAAAAATCACCCTAGACGCTCGTTGTTGGGTTAATATTTTAAACTCTTCGCCAAAAAATGTGTCCTAAATGGCATTGGTAAATACTTTATCAGTAAATAAATGTTTTAAATAATACAGAAGAAACTTTGCACTCCCGATGCAGCTTAGAAATTTCGCTACATTAATACATCTAACCGAAAATTCAGATCATCTTTGGTATTTCTTTTTTAACTAGGTTGAAGATGACGTCAGGGTCGGAATTCCTGGAACTGACCTGATACCGTCTGGGAATTCAAAACCTAATATAGTTTCGTGATTGATTTTTGACCCGCATTTAATTTCATAATTATCGCAATCCATTCAGGTATATATTAAATAAGTGAAATATTTGTTCGGTAAAAATTATAAAATTAAAAGAATTAAAATATTTATTTGAATAATACAACGGTGTAATATAAAAGTTTTTCTGCATAAAAATAGATCTAACAGTTTTTACTTCTATCTTTTTTTTTTTAATGAATATAGAAGTGACATTTGATATTTATTAATTTCAAAATATTATTTTTAAATTGAACTTTATTCGGTTTTATTTTAAGAGATAAAGATAAGAAATGCGTCTGTGAAATGCGGTTTTTACATAAATTTCGGCGGCCTCGATTTTGCTGAACTCTCGCGCGCGTCTCCTTCAGCCTCGGCTTCGGCTATACGGCTGCGATCGCCGAAGAACGAACGACCTTCTCTGAGGCCTCGTGCAGGCTTCCTACACAGAGCAAAAAAAAAATGCCCGCTGGGTCATGGAACCTTCGATGGATATAGGCTATATAGGTTTCTCCGTATGCCTTCACCCGGTCTTCATTGTTGCTGCTCCGCGACGGGAACTCGTTCTGTAAATGAAACTGGTATCACGCCGGCAATTCATGTAGAGACTGAGTTTATCTTATATGATGATAAAAAAATAACCATTATATAAATTTAGTCAACTATATGTCAAGTGCGTTATAACGGGGAAAAGTAAATCACACGTATGAGGAACATTTTCTGTGTCATAACCCGCAATTTATAATCGACAAGATTGACGTTAACATTATAAATATGATTTATATCAATAACAACGATCGTGTGGTACTTTAAATTAAAAAAATAAATCTGTAGATTGTGTGTATTCTTCGGATAAATTATAACATTTGTCGCTTGGTTCTTTGCAAAAATTTAGGGACGTAGGAATTCGACGGGTTGTATTTGCCATTTTCGTTTTTTCCCTAAAGGTTGTTGTACGTTACACTTGCTAACTCCTGCACATTTTACGACCGCGCTCTAGTCTATTTGCATTTTCTACCGGCTTCTATAAGCACGTTCGGTGCTCCGTGAGAAAAGCAGCGCCATACCGAAAGGAATGCTAGGAATTTACTTAATAAAAACTTCCTCTTGTGTACATACGTGGGCAAAACCAACCAGAGAAATCTGGGCTCGCTTTCCGATATCACATATCCTTGCGTTCGCGTCTTTACTCATGTTTCGCTCAAAACGTGCCGTTTAATTGTGGTCTGCGCGCGATACAGATGAAATATTAGAAGATACAAAGTCTTAACTTTATACGGATTTAAAAAAATGTTTCTTGTTAATAGGTATTGCACAATCTCGTGTTTGAAATATTTTTAATGTATAGTTTTAAAATTATTATATTTACATTTTTCGTAGGCTTAAAATATTAATTTTACCACTTTCGAATATCGTACCATTAGAGTGTTCACTCACAAGAATTATGAACGAATATATATAATTAACATCCTTTTTAATATAAAGACAAGAGCATACAATGTTATCGTCTACGTTTACTTATTGTTAGATCATTGATGATATGAATGTAACTATTATGCTCGGTCGTTTGGCTCAATATATTGAATAAACGTATACCGTATTTGAAATCGATTACGATCGGCCTTCGGACAGTATATGCACTAAATTTCTGTTTACGCGCATTGATACATATGTCACGTATTGATGACTCAATCGCCTGCATTGGAACTTCAACGGATGTCTCGCGATACAGCTTCGACAGAACATTCTCTGTTTTTAATATGCCAACGATGAAATATATCTCTTGCAACTTGTTCGCGAATGCTTGTAAGAAAATGTATTAATATATTTTCTTTCTATAAAAAAAAAAATTGTAATGTTGGAATAATTAAAGATTTGTATTGTAATGAAAGAATAGATAAAAAAATTCATAATCGTAATTTCGCGATTAACATGAGATATTCGCAAAGAACGTCGGGACAGTATTGTACCTTAAAAAAATTGTGTAAACAGACGCGTAGATCTTCACAAGATGCAGATTAATTTAATTTTTATGTTAAGACTGTGTTAAAACTGTGTGTGTAAAACGTTGAAATGTGCAAATGCGATGCACCAGTCACGGTCATATACATTAACAGTAAGCAAGTAGCAAGAATATTAGGATTCTGAGTATTTCTTGCAATGGTACGAGCAGCATTTAAGAGCATACCGCAGGTGTACTCACGCGATTCGCGATAGTCACACGCAAAGAAAGGGCAAAGCCTGGTTTGTCCTATTTAAAGAATTTTGTGGTCGAATAAAATATGGTGTGAACAAAATAATACTGAACGCGTTCAATGTGTGAAATGATAAAACTAGAATTTCATTAAAATACTATCTGATTGCCATTATTGCAATTATTGAAAAAATTAGTCAATAATTCATATGTCGTACGAATTATATATTTTTTTGCATTTCAGATGCCTCTAAGCAAGATATGAAAATTTTTAGAATTTCTTGATGATCTTTACGTTAAATTGCTGACAGCATTAACGAAATTTGAGCTATCGGAAATGCGCAATTTAAGAATACTATTTACATTGGTTTTTTTCTAAAAGATTACATAATATTTCAAATTTGTTAAAATGTTTATAAAAAAATAAGAACATAGGATTTAAAAATTTAAATGGTCTGTTTTCATAATTATGTTCTATATTTTCTTATTCAATCTATAACAGTTTCTCACACTGACGCGAGCATTTACTTAGTACTTCCTTTCATTAAAAAAAGAAAATAATATTTTAATGATGCATTCTACACAAGAATATGAGCCTATAATTATATATGGAAGTAGGTATTAGATGATTATTGATGTAAGAACTGCGAAGATAATAGTATTAGTGAAAAAATCAGTAACAAAACATTTAATGATGCTGGCAGCAACTTTAATCATGATCTCTGATGCACAACTTCGTTATACATTTTGCCTTACATATCTTACAAATTATGTTGTTACATCATTTATTAATCGCCATTCAATATATGATCGAAAAGCGCACATCGACATGAACAGGAACTGCAAAAGCAAGTAAATGGCAAAAATACCGAAGGTCTGAAGCGGAGTCTAGCTGTTGGAAAAATCTCAAGCAAATCAACTTTTAAGTAAACAGCAGGACAAATTAGAGAATTGCGAGTGGACAAGTCGCACTAACCTCATTATTAAGTTGAAAAAATAGTTGTCGGAAACGAATAAAAACCGTGGCGAATAAAAACCGACTATTTTCGGGTTTGAACTCGGACTCTCTCGGCTCACTAGACCAGCGAACATCTCTCTGCGCCACGATCGCCACCTATTCTGAAAATACATGTAAGAATAAAATACATAAGAATTAATTAATATAAAAAAAAGAATATATATAAATTTTCTAGGAACTCAATCTAAGAGACGACTATCAATGCCCCTATCTCTTGGCATTATCTTACTGCAGCTGTAAATTCTTATAACGTGTGAAAATAAAATTCAAAGTATATGTTTAGAGAAAAAATATACAAGAAGATTTATATTCATGTTATTTTTATTTAAGCATTTTGTCCCATATCATTTCAGTCATATTACAATATATTACAAGTAACGTAGTTACCTGTTTGATGTTGTACGCAGTATATAACTTTATTTTTATATGCCTAATCCTCTAAATTTTAAGGGAATCCTAAAGCCGTCTGTAATACCGACATTTTTACTAAACGCATATCTTTTTATTGATTTTATGGATTTAAAAATCCTTTAAAAAAAGTTAAATTAGCACATATATGTGCTAATGCTTTCCACGACGGTCGATTTTATACCGAGAACGAAAATAATTTCAGAAATGCAGACAATAAGACGTCGACTCGTGACACCATTTTCTTCGTATAAAAATTGTACAATTTGTTGTTACAAAATGAGACCGTCATGGAGGGTGAATTACATCAAGAAATATGGTTCTCAGAATTAGGATTAGATCTGTAACAAAAAAGTTATGCGTGTAGATCTATTATCGTGCAATGTAGGTACTATAACTTTTCAATCCTTGTCTATATTTTCATCTATACAAGGACAGACATAGGCCGGTAACATAGAAAATGATCGAAATTATCGACATTTTCGGAGTTCGGCCTTTGGTTTAGGATCCCCTTAATGCGGTATATTTTAATGTATGAAATCGCAAAACCAACAATTTTTCAACAAACTACAGACGGAGCTCGGAAACATATTCGATCGTTTTACACTCTGTCAGGTGAAATCAATCTTCTTGTGACCTAACGACGTGAATAACAATTCATTACGTTCATTCGCAATGTTTATCGAATTGGTAAAATATGATAGTTTTTTCGTAGATATGTTTTTTTTTTACATTTCGCAAACATCAGCCACCTCATCATCAGAAGTGATACAATAGCATTATTAACATATGGCATCCGTGTGATATGTGTAAAAGAAAAAACAATATGCTGCGCATTTAATTCATTCAAAATAGAAAAATCACTCGCTCAAGGAAGCGAATCGCAGACTGATCACTCGATAACGGAACCACGGCGAGAGCCCACATTTCAATAATATCGTGATGAATGTATTTTCTAGACAACTTTGTTACATATCAGAATACAGCCTACAGTTTATCGATTAGGTACTTATCAGTATATTCTTAGATATAATAACATCCGGCAGACTTAAAAATAATAGACATTGCCGTTTAAATTCATTTAGAAAATCTAAAAAAATCATGTAACCGGATAAAAAATAAATCTGAAAAGTCGTAATGCGCGTCGCTCTGTTTCATTATAAAAGATTTTCTCTGTCTCGTGATTATATCGATGTAAAATTCAAGATCGTCGAATACAAGAAGGTCAGGTATGGATATACTGTCTATTTCCCATTATGTGTCATCATCTAAAATCGCAACATGTACATTGTGTAAGTTACGTCGAGGAAGAGCCCGTGGCAGTGAACAGAATGGGTATGTAAATATAAGCTACGTTCTATAATAGATTATGTGATTTGATACATTGCTTTTGCATGCATTGTTAATGATATTTCCTTCCGTGTGTGTTTTTTTTTTTATACTCATTATATCTCTTATTCGTTTTGTATAGTTTAGCTATAGCAAGCATAACAATTGATTTCTCATTACGATTAGTTTTCATGATATGACATGTCAATATGTAGTAAAGTTACTCTCAGGGGACCGCCAAAAGCCAAACCATAATCGTCTTATCGTTATAATTCAGCTATACAATGACGTATATCAAAACTTATAAAATACCCAAAACCACCGTGAGAGGCGAGTCCCCTGACCCTGCATTTGCGCGGCAGATATACCGTGTATTCGTCTCTGATATGCGTTTAGAGCCAGACTTGTTATTGGTCGATAATTACGATTAAACGTTTACAACGTTTGGATGTCGAATAAATCTAGCATCGATCTAGCCGACTTCTAGCTTCTAACGGGACGAATGTCGTGATACAATTGTTATTTGAACGCCGGCGGCGGCGCCCGTTGCCCGTTCGTCTTCGACGCGTCCTCCGTCATGACTGTCACCAATTCGCCCACAGCTTTTCCTAAGTCCCCTGAAATAAAGAGAGAACCCTTTAACGTCTGCCTGTTTCTTCGCCGTTGCTCTGAGGTCCAGAATTCCTATGCTGTTAAACTCACGGTTTTACAATTAATTAGACAATCAACGTGCATACATTCCAATATACACAGAAAGGAAAAGATAAGCGTGGGATGAGTCGAAAAGAAGGGTTTAGGCATACAAATGCGCGATCAACACTAAAGATTCCCGCATTCAGTTATCGTTAGATTGCCGATGTCATCCGTTGCGTATTAAGTAACTTAGTAATCCGATATATTCATGTATTTAGGCGATTTTTAGTCCCTATGGAGAAGCACAGTGATCTCACCTTACATCCATTCTGTAGCGTGAAAACAGGAAGGCAACCGTTATTTTTATATCAATTTATTTCATATCAAGCAGAATGTCACGTGCATCATGGAGATCGCGGGCATAGTTATAGGTTGATTATACTACAATAATTGACACACGATCAAATTCACATAGACTGAACGAACCTGCCATGTGCAACAGATTGCCCACATTGTGACTAACGCTGTGAGAATGCGGCGGTGGCGGTGGCCTCTCTAAACTGCTGACTCTGCCCTCGTTTGAGCTTCCTCCACCTATGTCCGTATACCCAATAGCAATAAGCTTATCTAATTTCCATAGCGTCTGATTAAATATGTATATACAAATATGTAAACAATAGGGATTCTTCACAATCAACGGGGATAATGAAGTAAAAGATTCATTATATTTTAACTTTGTGATATTTTAAATGATTGAATTTTCTAAAGTAGTTGATTTTTTGTGACTTTATTAATTGATTATTTTATTTGTTATTAATTTAATATTTCATGTGTTATATTAAAAAAGACAGAGCTTTTCTCCATGTGCAGAAAGCAATTTAAGTGAATAATATTCATCATTATCTCAAACGCGTATCTACCTGTAATTGAAATCATCGAATCCCTATTGTATGAATATGCAGTTAGTGTAATATCAATAGAAAGGCATTAGATTCGGTTGTTGCATGAGTTACAAGTGTATATGGTGGTTATTACAGTCCGATTAATTAACTGCATTAATAAGGATCCCTAATTGAGATACCTAATTTATCGCCCCCAGATATTATCGTTTATTTCCCAAGGGTTATAATCAAAATTTAGCTCTTTATTAAGTTTAAAGCTGTTTATTAGATTGATTAGAATATACCTGGAGAATCATGATAATGGCCATTCATTTTTGCTGGAGAGTCAGTTGCTAATTGTGATGCTGTCACACTTCGGGTTTGTAAAGTTCCGGTCTTCGATGGCGAAGAAGCGTTTGGCTAAAAAAAGATAATCAGATTGAACCATTTTATATTTTTGTTATTTTTTCGAATTATTAAAAATGAAAGAGCAAATATTTGAGGTGCCACATTCAGCGTACCTCGTCTAGAAGCTGTCTAAGTCTTTGCAGTTGTGCCTCCAATTGGCGATTGTGGTCCTCGAGTAATTGCATGCGCGCTTCTAATCTTCCTTTATGCTGCCTCAACAGCTTAGCTTCCGCAATCATGTCGCAATCAGGTTGCCTAGTACTGTGACCGTCCTCTGGCGTTGAACCTGGCGTTTGCTTCGAGCGTAATCTTTCGTACTCTGCTTGCAATGTCGCGTTCTCCTCTTCCAATTCACGTATCATCGCCTCGAGCTCCTCTCTCTGCTCGGCATCGATCGCTGCCATGACTTGGACCGGACTTCTGGGTACGTTAATATTGTCGCCACCGTTCAGACTCTGACAGTAGTGCGCTATCAGCTGATGTTCGTCATCACTGTCCGGCGTGGAGTTACTTCTTGTACGCGACAGCTCAACCTCGGCGAGTCGAGAGGCGTACATTTCCAAACGAGAGTGCATATCTTGGCTAAGCGAGCTGTGTTGAGGCGACGGCGCCGGGCTTTCCAGCGCGTCTCCTTCTAGGACAGTTTGCACAGGCAAATAGCCAACTCTGGGATGTTTCTTGAAGTATCGTTTGGACTTGAATTTATTGCGCAACGCTCGCGTGAAGTCGCGCACGTCTTCACCGGAGGTTGTCTGTAAAGTAACAAACAAATCGTTCAATGTATCTGTAAAGATCGCTTCCTTTAATAATTCCTTAAGAAAATAAAGATGAGTGTCTTACCGCCGTGCAATATTCTTGCATCGGATGCGTCAGCTTATGATTTTTTGCTTTGCGTCCTGAGAAGAAACAGTTCTGACACATGTCGAAGTTGAAACATTTCAAGCAACGGTATCTGAAATCCAGATATTTTTTTTGTCATTACATATTTTGAAAATTTTATGTATACATATCTATATCGATTTTTTTGACCAATAAAACGTAATCTCACCTGAATCCTATAATAGGATACTCCTTGCATATGTTGCACTTGGCTTGGTGTTTGGCGGTCTCCGCTGCGGATAATCTATGCAATACCGGCAGCCAGACCATACTCTGTGGCTCCTGCTGCAGCCAGCTCAAAAAGTGCACGGCCTCTATCTCGTTCTTATCTTTTCCCGCCTTCTCGAAGCAGCTGCGAACACTGGGCTCGATATTCGAACCTCCGAATGCCGCGACTTCGCCCAATTGTCTCGGCACTTGTATGCAATCATGCAACAGAAGTCCTAATTTTCGTTGGTCTACCAGCCTATTGGGATCCGCAATCAAACGGAATAAATCTGTAAATAATATAAAAAAATTTCCATTAGATACACACCTTAAATACATTTAACTTATCAGGGAAAATCTTTTCATGTACTCACATCTATACTTCTCCTCCAAATGTCCTTTGCATAACAAAACCAAACCGACTTTGAACGAAAGTACTCGAATTTGACCGGTTCGTTGGCTGAAAATTATAGCGAAGAATAAGTTGTAAGTACTATGATAATGCTACGCATAATGTTTTGAGGATTGCTAATATAACTTAAAAGATTGGACGATCTTGTTCAATTGCTTAATATTATCTAATAATAATTATCCAGACAGCATGCATGTCTGATGGGTATCTAATTATCTAATTTTGTCTAAACTAGTCTGAACAAATATAAAAATATATATATGTACTAGATGTGAATCGAACATGAATAATAACAGATACGGTGACAATTTGATAGTTAAAAAATATATTCACTTATTAGTATACCTATCATATACATTGAGCAGCCAGTTGATGGCCAAGTCAATGCATAGAGGTACCGACACCTGCGTTGGATTATCTGCTGCGATTACTTCGTACAGCGATGTCAGTACTGTTACCATATCGGGGATGTCGATCAGTTTGTCATTCTGCGCCCGAAGCCCGTGTGAATCGAACTGTTCCAACGCGGTGGAAAGGCTCAACATGTCCACTAAAAGTGACAAACAAAAAAATATATAACCGTCATATAAATAACTATTCTACAATAAAAATAGAACATTTATTTATTCTGTGACTTTTTATTTTCAAGATATTGGTATTAGAAAATAATAGAAAATTTTAAGATAAATGAAGATATTCTCATGGTATCGATTTGTTTGCTAAATGCACGTTTAAATAGCAATTAAACAGCAATAAAACAAATAATTTTGATTACCAGAGATGCGAAAATACTCACGGCACAGTCGCTTCTGAACGGTACGCAGTTTCATGGCGGTTCGATAAGCGGAAAAGCGAACTTCGTTTAGATCCGCGAGCGAAGACATCAGTTCTATCATTTTCGGATGATCCCAATGCGTAGTCTCCAAATGATGGCTGTAACAGATTTTATTTAAATTTATTTATTTAAGTATGTACGCACGAAGAAATATAAAATAACGGAATAAATTTTTAGATATTCGAATTTATTAGATTCATTTAAATATTAAAATTGATTGGATATTCGTTGTTATTTAAAAATATTCGATTAGATTACGAATGTTTCTTTTAGAAACATAAGACTCGATCGTGTCAGTAAAAGCACTCGATCGCCTCAGAAATAACCGTGCCGTACGGTTTGGGAATTTCGAGGCGACCGTGCGGGTGGTGCAAAGGAAGATCGATTACTTGATATAGTAAGGCACTTTGGCGGGTGTGAGGGCTCTCTCCCATGGTGGTTCTACGCTGCTCGCGAGGAAAGCCTGACTACCCGGAGTGCTGCCATCCTTCCCGAATCCGCTTAGCAACTTGTAACGCTCGTCAACCGCTACTTGCAGCACCTTCCACCTGCGAAAACACACGAAAAAGTTAACGTCGTTGCGTTCCCGAATTCAAAGCCCGTCGCAAGGCAGGCTGTAAAAATAAAGTCTCACAGTGTTGAGCGAATTTTTTAAATTCTTTACTCTGATACCGGCGACACTTGCACGGAGTGAAAAGAAGCGTCTCAAATCCTGCTTGGATGGTCGTAAAGAAGATATCTCGCGCGACTTTCGTTATTATTCAGATAGAATCGTAATGTCTGAAAAATTCCGATGTCGCGGATTGCTCGAAGGATTTCCACGATTAAATTCCACGTTTCCGTGACATCGTGTACATCGCTGATATTCATTCGAGTTTTGCATAGAACTCGCGGTCGGAAGTCGCGCGATAAATTTTTACGCGGTCGTCAAGACCACCACATACCTGGTGTTCAGATCTTCGAGTTTCGCCAGTAGAGCGTGAGAAACGATGACGCTGCTCGATGCGAAGACGCTCGCCTGGTCGTTCGCGTCCTCGATGTTCCTCTGGATTGGTACCAGTCGTTCGCCGAATTTCTGCAACTGCTCGAGCAGTTCCGTCGCTTCGTTGGCGTCGTTTGGATTCTGCCAGCCGCTTTGGATCGCCTCGGCCGCGGCCATCCGCGAGGAGAGATCCTCGAGGGACTTTTGGAAGACACATATTTTCTGAAATCAGAACAAAAACGACACTAAATCAAGATGTTCATTATTCGTTCATCATTGTTCGTAATTTATTTGTGGAGATTATAATTGATAATTGCTATATATATTAATTTATAAGTTGATGTTTACTTGTAGTAACTGTACAATTAAAGAAATATTATATGAAGAAATATCTCAGTTAAGCGTGATTATTTTATGTCTTTCAATTGTCTCTACTGTTGAGTTTTTTGTTTTAAAAAGCTGACGCCGATGCACTACACTATACATATGTATTTGTATACTATGCCCTATGCCTTTTCAATTTGAATGTCGATAATTAATAAAATTAAGCATACGAGCACGTTTTGGGATTTTTCCAGCAAGCGACACAAGTCGACACAATTCGATACAAGTATCGTTTTATCTTTGTTACTCATTGCCAAAAAAGAAAGATAGAACGATGTTTTGTGTCGACTTGTGTTGCTTGCTGGAAAGCTCATACCTTTGTGATTCTTCCCAACTCTTTCTAACAGTATTTTGTCTCTTAACAATATCGGGCTCGTGGGTACAATATTTTCAACACAAATTTAAAAAAATGTGAACATTATTTTATTATAATAATTATTACAATAATTAAATCATTACAATGTTGATTATAATAATAATTATTACAACAAGCGTAATCAAATTATGACCACTTTAGGTAATTTTGTCTTTTGATTCGTGACTAATGCACATGGTTTATCACCGAGACGAAATTTAGTTTAATCTTCAGTTGAGAAAACCCCGGCGGAGTATTAAAAAAATTAGTTCTTTCCTTTGACTCTATTTATAGTTTTTTGAATTGGGATTAAAAAGCAGAAATAACAGTTTAAAAATTTGATGCATTAAATTTTTCTTAAGACAAATCTTGAAAATAAAAGAAGAAAGAAATATATGGAATTGTAAAAAGTACTTAATTTTCAAGAAACGTTACTTTAGATAACTTACAAAATTTGAGATTTAATTACACAAAGGTAATTAATAATAAAACTTTTGTTAAATATTATCCAAAAAATTGTTATTAAAAAACTTATATAGTTATTAAAAACAGACATGGCAAGGAATCTAAATCGGATCAAGCGTAATCAAAATAATAAAGCAAATAATTCCTTTACAGCGAAATAATTTCTGCCGTTTCTTTTTTTCTGGCACTTGCGAGGGAGCGTACGAACAGAGAGATATGAGACAATCGCTAAGTACAAATGGCGTGCTCTCTCAGCCCTTTCAATTTTCATTCCTGGACAAGGCGCGGTAACCGGCGCGGCGTCGCGATAAAATTCTCCGAGCATTTATCAGTCGGCGATACGACACGAAGAGAGCAGAAAGAGCGGAAAAACGGAGGAGGAGGACGGTCGGTTGGTCCCACGATGGCATTTGCATTCCAAATAAACGCCGTCGACGGACGCTAAATCGCTCTAATTAGTCGTCTCCCTATGAAAGTGCTTTAAGCGTCCCTTGTTCCGAGAGCGGGATAAGGAAAAAGGCCGACACGTAAAAGCGGGAGTGCGAATGGAAGAGAAAGAGAGAAGGAGAGAAGAAGTTAGGATCTTACTTCCGTGACGAAGGAAAGTGGGATGATCGAACCGATGAAAATGCCGGAAAAAGCTGAGTCGCACTCTTTGTTCTTAATCATTTAGAGAAAGAGCGATAATGTGAATTATCATTGATAAAACGTGCAATCATGGAACGGCGGAAGTTCAAGCTGAATCGCTTGAAGGTGAAGTATGCAGGTATTTTGCGCTGGATTTTATTACAAAAGAAATGAAATAACTCTCTCGACAGGTTAGGGGATAAATAATTTCTAGATAAACAAAATATCGTCCATTTGTACAATATCGTTATGTTACATCATCGCGTTTAGTTTATGCATGGCAATCTGCTGTATTTTATACGAAAAATAATTACCGTGATTACTGACCAGAGTTAAAATGTATTACAATTCTCGCGCGTTCATTATGTATATATACGTGTTACATGATAAACGGATGGTATGAATACTGCATCATCCGTGACGTGAATTGTGTCCAACATAAAGCATCTCTAATAACGTTCGTGCTAATGAGGAATTATTGAGTTCAATGAAAACATAATTATTCAAAATGCTAAAACGCGTAATGTGTGTGTTCTCGCACCGTTCTTGCGCCGTTCTCGCGTGCATCTGCACGAAATCAGTGTGAAAAAAAATCGTTGTATAACGAGTGCCATGGGGGCAATCTTGTTGGCGAACCAGATTTATCTCGGCGTATGCCCGCACGCACGCACTTCGCGTTCTAGTTACGTAATAAAAAGTAACGAGAGTAAGAGACGGTAATTTGATTGTACAATGAGATCTCTCCGCGCATGGACACGCAAAGATGGAGTTATTTAATACGCCTGAACTGATACGCGTGGCATGTGTTAAATGTAATACTCCGTGTTTATTTAGCCGAGATTTAAAAAGAGCGAACTTTAAAGCGGAAGACGGTGCATTTTATAATCGCGCGCTTTTACGCAGCTTTTACATAAACCAGCATCAAGTGTCGCTGGATAAAACTCGGGAAGCAGGATTACAAAGTTTAACTCATCGAAAAAGACGCGCGATAGTATTTCGAGCAATTAAAGTAATTTGTAATTTAAAAGTTTTAATTATAAAGCGTACGTTAGAGAAAATTTCTCTTTATACAAATAAATTTAAGTCTCTCTATAGATGATATAATCCGTTAAAATTTAATGTAAAGTTTTGTTTATAATTTTATATGCTTCATACTTTGATCCATTTGATACATAAGCTGATTTATTCTAATTCTTCTTTTTTGTATTTCGAAATGTATACATATAAAATTATAAATGAAATTTTTTTACGTAATTTAAAACTCAAAAACTCTCGATATCAAAATCTTCATTTCGGAATTATTAAATTCATATTTGTTTTCTTTTATATATATATAAGAGATAGTATAATGTATTGTATATGACGAAATGTTTGCAATTCAGCTATTAATAAGAAAGTATTCTGCGCATCTTACACTGTTCTGTATTTTATTCTACAAAGTAACGTATAAAAAATAATCAAATGGGTGCATTTATACGTGTATGTATCGTTAAAAAAATCAGGAAAGAGAATCGGTCTTTACGTGCGACGTGTTAGTTAAGTCGACCGCAATAATTCGCTCGGCGAAGTGCACAGGAAGTACGCGCTGACACGCCGGCAAGTGACGCAGCCACGGTTCCGTCGTATAAATAAAATTACGACGAATATAAAGAAAATAAGAAGAGAAACGCTGGAAGCTCCGGCCGGAAATGGAGAACCCGAGGACTTCATTCTAACGCTCTCTAACAAGAGTCGCGAAATAATAACATCCTTCGATTCCGATTGGTTCCGCCGTGTTTCAGCGGAACAGACCCTAGACGGAAGTATAATAATAATTCCGCGAAAGGACGATAAGAAAAAACGGGAGAGACGTGCAGCTGACGCGGGATGTAAAAAAACTGGAATGCAACCATATTTTTGCGCAAAAGATAATTTCGTAATTTTAGCTTAGAATTAAAACGACCCATATTTTTTCGCGTATCACATAAGTGACAAGTGATCCACAGATACAGAAAGCGGGACAAAAATTCGTACTTTTATCGTCCCTCTCAGAAATTTTGCTTTCACAGTGCTGATGCTCTTGCTGAAACGTGGGGCACCGAGTAACTTTACTCAGACGTCGCACTTCGTGACTCTCATTATACAGGTTCTCCATTTTATTCCCGTGATAAATCGTGCCGAAAGAAATTTCGCCCGATTTCGCCGGGAATGACGTAGACGGATGACGGATTGTGCACCTGGACGTGAACTAATTGGCAGGTCCGTCGATAGCACGGGGCCTGGTTAGGCCTTCGCGTCTGAAAATCGTCGGGTCCGCCGAAGGCCGAGGCCAAAATAATTTCTCGCCGCGGCATCTGCAGTGTCATTTATTATGTGGCCAACCGGGCAATTAAAGTTAACTCGGCCGTGTCCCGGCATCGTCCCCGCTCTCCCGTTCTCGGCCTTTCCTCGGCAGTTTCCTCGTGTCGTACGTCCTGGCGAAGAAACTTCTTCGTGGAATTTGCTAAGCTAATTGTCTGGCGCCGTCCGATATTCCTCTGGCTGTATGCACCATTCGTGGACCATTTGGCAATTAGCTATTTGACTTGCAATTCGTCGTGAGAGTTCTCGTTCCCTCTGCTTCTCTCGTTGCACCTTTTTTTTATAATTGTTACCGAGCGAATTATTAGTTAAATTTATACACGCGATTGACGAATGCAAAAAATCAGGAAAAGCGTTTTTTTTTTTTTTTTTAATAGAAATATTCAATCAAGACCTTGAAAGTATTTCTGCGAAGCAGCTTCACTGGAAAGGCTTTAGCCTTTCTTGGAATTCTACCTGAAAAGATACTTTCATTCGCTGAACAAAGACGTAATTCAAAATGAGTCAGGTGCAAGTAAACAGAGAATTTGAAAGATTACAACATCTTAAAATGTTTCCAATTAACTAATAAAATATCACTCAGTTAAATTATCTCTCTCTCTCTCTCTTTCTTTCTGCAAAAGTATATTCAGTTTCATACATTGCAATGAAAATTATATTAGTCGACTTCTACAAGATGAGTCCATTAAATTTAGTTCTTCATTATTTGGACTTTAGCTACTCGGTATTTTGAGCTTTGTTGGAAATATTAAATTGCGCTTTCTATAACACAAAATTTTTAAATAGAGAGATTGGTCTTTAAAAGAACGTTATCGGACAAGATTATTTCTATTACTTTTATTTAAATTAGCATTTTCGCGATGTTCTTTTCTTACGTTTATACGTAACATTGCTTTAGCTCGCAATTAGTTGCAAGAGTATTATATGAGAAAAGATGGATGCACGATGAAAAATATAGGCAATGGAAACAGAGAATAACACAGACAATAGATTTTTAACCTATCGGGAGCCGTGTATTAATGTTATTACACCATCAGCTTTATTCTTGATT